AGTTGATGGATGATCTATAAGCTTGCCTCGTAATCGAAATACAGTGGGTGTGTAATACCAATGAGTCGGAAACTACAGCAAAGTAGCGCTGTAGTACTCACTGGTGGTTTCTCGTAGCTGTCTAACTGATATCAATTCGTGGTCAAACTTAAAAATATGAAATCCCTACAGACTAACTTTTGGAAAGTTTAGTCTATTTACCATTAGTATGTCACTCAATTATCTACTTACATTTTACCTTATGTTGAGTGACCTTAAGTTTTATATACATTCAATTATCATTATTAACTAACGGACTATCTTTCCATCTTACACATGCACCCCAGTGCGATTTCTGATGTAGTTTTCGTTTGCCTTTACTGGATGTTTTTGTATTCTAATATTTATGAACTTATAATATTTCATTTTTTTTACTGAATTTGAGATTTTCCCGTCGATAGATTGGACCGAAGTGCTCGGTCTCGTGGCCCAAGTGGTCTAGTGGATAACGCTTTGGCGTTTTAAACTATGGTTACTGGGTTCGAGCCTCGGTGGGAACATCATCACTCACTGAGAAATGCAGGTGCATCCAGATGACGAGTCCCGAATAGGACGAAATGCGCATCCTGGATTCCACTGCTAGTCACCGTCCACCAATTAAATTATAACAGTCCAGCCTGAGGAGAAATTTGTCAAAAACAGTTATTCCCTCAAAAATCATCTTGTTTTGATTATATCATGGGGATTTTTAACATGTACATATATACACATGTTATCAGAAACCTCAACACTAGAAAATTTAGGTTAATTATGTAATGCGAAAGAGCCTAACCATATATATACGTGTTGACAAAAACGTTTTACGAGTTTGACCACGGATTGATATCAGTTAGAGAACCAACAAAAACCGGAGAGTACTGGACAGCTATTTCATCCTAGTTTGGGAATCATCGGCAGTAAGATTAAACAGCTGTCCAGTACTCCCCGTTTGTTTTCAATGGTTCTTTCACTGATATCAATCAGTGAGCATATTAATCGTGAAAACAAATCTGATCCTTACAAACAAACTCTTGTAAAAAACTTGAGTCTTTTAATATTATCACTCTTTTACGAATTATTCTACAAACATTGATTGTTTTTATGAATAAATATTAAAGCGACATTAGAATTCTGTATTAGTATGGTGATAGTATAACTAACTGGTAAATAAGATAAGATAATACCTTTATTCTAAATCAGCACTTGTGACACAGAATGGAATTCTCAGCATTTTTGCTACAATACTGCATCTAGTTAGTACATTAACAATAAATAAAGTTCTACATGGATTAAAGTTAATCTCAGTTCATTATGACAACAACATATTGGCATGTCGGTAGCAAAGCCGAAATTTAAACAGAATGTTTGAAGGTGTTAAAAAAGTAGATACTACTAGCATATTTACTGGCGTAAGCGATAGCAAAATGGTCGAGATATACAGAGTGTGAAAGAACGAAGAAGAATGTTTTAAGTAGAGTTTGTAAGGAGGAGAGAAACAAAGCAGCACATAACATAAAAACAGAGCAAAGGAAAAGATTGAAAGAAAACGTTGTACCGATAAATGATGTGAGTTGGAAAGACGAGATCCATTGTTCTACTGACTATTTAATAAGTTAAAGGTTTCATGCCTAATGCTTTCTTTATCGCACAGAACACGAACTAGGTAGGGTATGGATGAGTTTTTGTACTTACTAGTGCGGGCATATAGTTTCCTATATAGGCTTCTGGTTTTCCCTGAAGAGATACATGGGGAGAGTTGTGAATGTAGAGGGTGTTGTGAGTCAGATAAAATGGATTTCGCCCATTTTTCACATGAGTCCATGTGCCTGTCCACCAGAATATTAACAAGCTGGCTAAGTGGCAAACTGCTTACCCTGCTGACAACCTTTAACATCCTACGTAATAAGGTATAGTCTTTCTTCAATAGCCCAGGAAAGACTAAGGGGGAACAATAGAGAATAATAGGCAGAATACGGGAGTTAACAAATTGTAGGAGTAAGGGTTGGGTTACACCAGAATGTCTTAACTTCTTGATGTAGAAGGTAAGACGGAATATTTTCTTGGAAATCGTCAAGATATGAGACGACCAGGAAAGATCAGAAGATAGAGTGACGCCTAGGTATTTAATTTCCGACTTGGTTTCTATTTCAGTGCCATCTATGTTGCACACCTCGTGAGTGATAACCAGTTTGTTTAGGTCAGATTTGTGCCTAAAGGTGAAATTAACTGTTTGGCATTTGGAGGGGTTTAAGGTGAGACCGTTTTCCTTGGACCATTGGCTAATTTCTGATAAGAAGCCATTTAGTTTAGAGCAGTCACTTTGACATTTGACAGGTAAAGATACAGTTAGGTCATCAGCATATTTGACAAAGTTAATGTCATTTGAAGATGGTAGGTCATGTAGAAAGAATGAAAAGAGAAGTGGGGAGAGTACAGCACCTTGGGGGACACCAGCTTCAGTGAGCACAGCAGAGGAGGATTCGCCTTTGTATACGGTGTACTGCATTCTGTTTGAAAAGTAGGAATGCAACCAGTTAGTGACCCAGGACTCGGTTTGTGTCATGGAGAGCTTATTTAGCAAGAGACATCTAGGTACAGAGTCGAAAGCAGAAGTGAAGTCAAGAAACGTGCAGCGGACATATTTGGCACCTTTGTCTAATGATGAGACAATACTGTTGTGTAAGACGGCTGCAGCGTCTAAAGTACTCCTACCCTGTCTGTAGGCAAATTGTTTGGGGTCTTCGAAGCTTTTAAGGGAGGGTTCGAGTTTAAGAAGTACTAGTTTTTCCATGAGCTTTAGAAACGGGGAAGTGATGGCAATGGGTCTGAACTTTACGTTCTTGCTATTGCCAGGTTTAGGGACAGGGACTATTTTAATGTCTTTCCATGGAACAGGTACAACGTTTTCGGAGAAAGAAGCATTTAGGATATTAGTTAGAGGAGAACATAAAGCATCTGCACATTGTTTTAGAACATATGCAGGTATGCCATCAGGGCCAAGACTATGTGAGGGCTTAAGAGTTTTAAGACATTTCAAAACATCAAGAGTGTTAAAGTCCTGGAAGTTATCAGCTACAAGATTAGTAACGTTAGAAGTGGTAGAGCGTATAAAAGACAGATTAAGAGCATTAACATCACAAGAGGGAAAAACATTACATCGCTTACTATTGCCAGTAATTTCATTGAAAAATTTCCACATGCTGATAGGAGATTTGCATGATAAAAGTGTTTGGTTATAGATAGCATTAAGATTTTTGATTTCAGATTTGATTTGAGCATTAATCTTTTTAAGTCCTAACTTGTCTTTGCATTTATATAACATTTCTTTTTGCCTGCGAAGTTGTTTGAGATGGGGAGACAAGAAGCGGTCGAGGCGTTTGAACAGTGTTTGTTTGGGACAGCATATGTCGAGGCAGAACTTAAGATAATCCATTATATTGGTGATTGAGTCATCTAATGTACTTTCATAGAATAATCCCAGTTAGTATTTTTAACATGCATCTTAGATTGAGTAGGTTGTCAGATGTGTAGCATCTTTGTTGTGCTTTCGTAGACAGGTGTGAGAAGATTTTTATGTGTTTTGCTGTATATTTTTGGCAAAACACGGACAATGCAGTGATCTGAGTTTAGTATCGGTGAACGTCTACGTGTTTCATATACTCCTTCGTCATTAGTAAAAACTAATCGAGTGTTTTGTCAAGTCGAGTGGGAAATTTGACTATGTTTGTGTGACCAAGAGCTTCAAGAAAGGAGCAATCTGAGGTGTTGAAGTCCCCAGTAATAATGGATAGAGAGTTGTCAAAGTTGGCAGCAGCAAACATGGGGAATATCACTCGGAGGCAGTTTCACAAAGATGAATACTGAAGTCTGAAGAGTGTTAGAAAGTCATACATTGTATTGTAGAACTTCAACCACAATACTTCGTTAGTTATATGTCCTCATCACAACTTCATTGGTCATTATTTTCTCTATCGCTAGCAGTTTATAACAGGACCGGATAAACAGGGCGGAAATCTAGATATAGTAAAGAAGATATGTAGCTCATTTGGATGATTTTGATTTGTTTTTGTTCTCTGAGCTGGATAGTTAATTTGCTTAGCTTTCATCACCCCCTACTACACGACATCTTCAGCGCATAATTCAATTCGTTGAAGTGAGCTTTTAGATTTCTCCACGAGTTAACTAATGAACTCTCCTGGTGACCTTGGACGTATTTGGTTGTTTTTGTGTGTTCTGAGACCTTATAGGTTACTTCTATTTGAACGGATTGTTTTTTTGACTTGAGCTTTCACCCTTTGTGTGTGAGATTTCCCTCTTATCGGTTGTTAAATTTAGTCTACCTCTATGTGTTTATTGATTCATGATTCACCGGAATACCAGGTGTCTGAAAATTTTCTAATATTTATGGTGTTTGCTCTGGCTAATATTTGGATGTTGATTGTCCCAATCGAATTGACGGTCGTGGTTTTCTGTATGTAGTGATATGAGGGAGTGGATATCATGTCGTTTGATGGCTAGCTTATGTTCGTGGGTACGAAGACGAAGGGGACGTCCACTTTGGCCAACGTAGTGTTTTCGCAGTTTTTAAAATTTATTTCGTAGATGATGTTGATTTTATCTTCTTCCGTTGTTGAGTCTATTGATTGACATAAAATTGAGTGAAGTGACTTTGTTGGATTGTGTACGACGTCAATTCCTAAAGGTTTGAAGAGTCTTGCAGTGATTTCTGACATATCCTTTATATATGATAAGACAATTTTCTTTCTGGGCTGTAATCGATTTGCCTTACCACTAAGTAAGGAATAATTTTCAAAATCAACTTTGATATGTTACATAACATTACTACTTCGGTTTTTTCATCCTCACAAAAAGTGAAAGTTATTTACAGGATCAATAAACATGTGAATTCTTTTTTCATAAAAATGTCTTACATCCTGATGAGTAAACTTCAACGTTTTTTTCTTTCTTAAACTGAATTTTAGATAGCACAGATTCCAGTAGAAAGACGGTGGTCAACTCTGTCAACAATCTGAGCTACAATATTAAAGTTACTCCGATTAGTCCCAGTATTACCTCTACTTCTCCTCCTCCTTCGGCAGCTACTAATGCCACTTTTGCTAGTGGCGGTACTACAAATACTACTTCTACTACTACTACCACTACTACAACCAATCCACCTATCCTCCCGTCAAGTACTTCTAGCAGTTATACTAAAAGTTATAGACCAAGTCCACCTTTGAATGATACGAATACAATAAATCTCAAAAGAAGAGTAAGTGACTTCTACACTTTACTATTGTTATTATTAGTACAAGTAAACATATAAACAGTTTTATCGGGCGTAACGTGACAGTCTAAGTCAGTTGAGTTCTTCTTCTATTCTAGGAATAGATCTTGCGCTGCACTTAATCTTCCGTTTATACATTGTCACTCAGTATTATTGTTACATTATTAATTTTCAGTTATATTTTGAGTGCGACATAACGCTTCACTAGCACATCTCTATTCCATCCCGTTTACGTAGTCCTACTTAGCTGGCTACACGATTGCCTATAGAGCTGTCTTTTCCCTCATTCATTATCTTCTCCATATCACTCTTGGACCACATCCAACTTGTCGCTTCTCATTCAGTTTTTACTAGAATGATGGCCTGAAGTGCTGCGTCACTCTACGATTCACTCAGAGTGTGTCCAACCAATCTCTATTTACAGGATTTCATGATTAACTGACGTTAGTTATGGGAACATTGGAAAATCTGTGAGCACTGGACAGCTGTTTCACCCTTCCTTGGGATTCCTCATTAGTACGCACCTTAGATATACTGGTTACACAGCAAACTCATAGACCATTAAGCCACCGGGACCCAATCCTGTGGCTAGTAAATAAAATGCAAATGTCGTGTGACCACTGGCGAATGTCATCTGAGAAACCAGGATGAAACAGTTGTCTCGCAGTACTCCCAGGTTTTCCAATGATTCTCTAACCGATCTCAGTTCACGATGAAGTCTTGAAAGCAATCATATCCGTGCAAACCGACACTTGAATATCATCTCCATTTTCTCTGACATATTTGTTTGGCAGTAACTTCTTGGTTGGTTCATTCCATTGCTGAGCTCCTTACCGCTTCTCCTTTCTAGGAAGCCAACTGGTATTCACTATATAGCCAACAGAGACAGCTGTTGATGAAAGATTACAATAGCCTGTTGGAAATGCTCTCGATAACGCACACGTCAAGTCCCTGGACTGACTGACTGACTAGGTACTGGCGTTGAAAATCCAAATCTTGTTCTTCATGCTGGGTACAGTGTATCGAAAGTCCTACATGCCCACCCTTGACATCTTTATCCTAGCTGTTTTAAGTTGAAATGATGCTGACTAAATAAGTCATCGAGGTAACCAAGCTCAAATTTTTTCCCGCTGACAGTGATTATTGCGCGTTGTTGTCGGTTGTGGTTGTCAGATGTCTTCGTCGCCCCCGTCCTCTCTATGTTCACTTGAAGTTGTGTCTTCGCTGAATCCAGTAGTGTATGAGTAAACGTTTGGCGAATGAATTCCATGTGTGTGCGTGTCAATGTGTGTTTTCACTCCACACAAATCAACATTCACAGTTGTAAACAAACGTCTGCATTAAATTATATATCTATATATATATAATATGCATAAACAGCCATACCATGAGAAATAAATCCGTTCACAGAATAAAGATAACTACATTCATTACTTTTTTTAAAAGCAGTTTTGTGTGTTAGAAGTTTTTCATAAGTTTTATTTTTTATCATTTCTAGTATTATTATTACCATTATCAATAACTATAATCTAATATTTGCTCTGGCATCAGATAATATGCATAGGGATTATATTATTATGTAACCCAGATAAAATATGACAGTAGACCCAATGGCGATTACTAGTGACCAATTTTAACTGAATACTCCAAATAATAGCCAGCTATAGCTCACCAGTTTATAGATAGATCATCTAAAGCTCCAGTGAAAAGAGTACTGTCCCGTGGAATTCTACACAAAAATCCGTATACAATAGGCAGTAAATGCGCTTACTTTGTTGGTGTATGAATGTCCTGAGGTATTTGTTTTTGTTGCTAAAGAGTTTAAAACTAGGACGAAACAGATATCCAGTGTGTTTTTTTCCTGATTTTAAATGTCCATCTAACAAGTGGTGTCTTGTTCGTTAGGAAATCTATTCAAATAATTTCATACTGCGTTACATCTACTGTCGGTATGTTGCCATCCTCAGAAATGTTCAACATGCGTAATTTGAGATAATGAGTTTTTATAGGAAGTTGGATTGATTCGAATGCATATATATATATATATATATATCGTACTACGAGTCCACACCGTTTGAGAAGATCACTAATAACCATGGTGCTGATGACTCTCCGGTGATGCACTTTCACTGCCTCATGCAGGGATCGAACCATGGACCTTTAGTTTAGATGACTGAGCTTGTTGACCATCCAGTCGATTCATCAAGAATCGAATGAAGCATCACTTCACTTTCTTATGCAGCATTACGCTGAACAAATGCCTTTGATTAGTAGACACTTATGGATTGTGCAGACATTAGAGATACCGTCGAATGACATAACACGCAACGCAGGCCATCACTCAACTGGAATGCAAATGGGAAGCAATGAATGGTTCGTCCAAAGTTGATATTGGGGGAGATCATGTCAGTTAGAGTTGGAGGAAGAGCGGTTGAGGGATTATGGTCAGTTGTAGACCCAACTGAACAGGACAGCAGCAAATAGAAGAAGGCAATAATGTGTTTTTGAAGCCCTATGTAGCACTTGGATCCCAAGGGAACAAAAAATAAACAGTATTCACTTAACCTTGACCACTGGTGAACCCGAGTGGTCATGACTTCTTAGTACAGCTTTATAACAGCCATCCAGTATCCGTCAATTACCTGGTGACTCGTATTGCAGATTATGAGAAAAAACAGCTTTAGCCTACTCCCTACCTGCTACTCGTTCAAGTTGAAATGTACACTCAAAATAAGCAATTTGTTTCTGACACTTATGTATAGATTAGTGAGGTTCCAGCATAAACCGTTTATGAATTTAAGATGGAGCTCTTCTTCGATTCATTAAGACACTATTGGTGTCTAAAGCATGCTAAACACTTCTTGATTTCAACGAAGCATCCGATCGTAATAAAAGTACATCTATGGTGATCCCCTGTAGTATATAATTCCTCCTCTTTTATTCAACTATATATGTAGAAGAGAACATGAGAATAAAACTCGTTTCTTACTTAATTCTTCTTTCTTACATCAGCTAACTTCATTCTGTTTCTTCCAAAAAGCAATTAGACATCTTACTTACTTCAAAGTTTCACACAGATGACTGACTGATGTCAGCTCATGATGAAGTCCTTCAACCAAATACTGAATGATCTGAACTTGGTTATTTTAAACTGAAGTGCTAGAAGTGTGTTGCCTTGCAGGTATCTGATTGATTTCAAGTTTTGTCATGAACTGATTTCAATTAGAGAACCATGGAAAACTAGCACAGAATACTGAAGAGTTGTTTAGCTTCCGTTTGAATCTTCTTCGACAATATGCGCCAACTACCTCACTGGAGATATGACTGAGGATTTTCAGGTCATGAAACGACCTCGTTAACCACTCAGCAACCAGATTAAATTCGAATTGCCCATGAATCTTAACTTTCGCTGATTCGTGAAATATAGCGTGATCACTAACCAATGTCATTGACTGCTACTTGTCCTAACACTTAATTTGGTGGACTCTACTGGTCACGAATTCTCACTAGAACTTTAGAAAACGTCCTACTGTAGTGAGTTACTGGTGGATAATAAATTAATTCTCAGGTGTGTTTTTTTTGTATTATTCTTAGTATACCCTATTTTTTTTACAGTTCTATAACTGAAGATCTATTTCGTTATGAACTATGGAATGAAACTAGGCTAACACAAGTTCAATTAAATAGACAAACATGTTAATCAACTAACAAAATTAGAATAGATGTCAAAAACCTCTTTTTTTCAAAGGCATTAACAGTTTTAAGTAGATTTAAACTAAATGTCTTATTTCACAATCATCAAGCAGACGAAGAAAGAAATTATAGTCGGGTACAGTGAGTTGTGCGCTTTAGTTAAATTTCAATTTCTACACCAAAATGGGTTTTACTATGTAATCTGACAGTTTTTGCATTCCACTATAAACGAATTTCAGTCATTCATCCATTGATCCCTATTATTATTATTATTATTATTATTATTCCCTTGGGTTCCGAGTGGAACATTGGACTTCAACAACAAATCTTCACTTTTCTCTATTTTCTACTATCCTCTTCACCTGGTTCCACAATTGTCCATAATCTCTCATCTCCTTATACTCCTAGTACAATCTCTTCCATGTCACTCTCCATGTCACCGACGTCCTATTCCTCGCCACTTCCCATTGGGACTCCACTCGATCGATGGCCTGAATTGCGTGCGATGTCATTCGATTGCCTCCTCAGTGGCATATGTCCAATGCATCTGCATATCCTCTTACGTATTTGTTGATAATTCGACTCTTGCTTGGTTTGTTTGTTGTTAGCCAGAGTTTCTTCTGGCTAATTCTTTCTGTCCGACTGGCCATTTGATCTTCAGTATGGAGCCTGCCAGCTAAAAGGTGTAGGCTGCCGATAGAAATCTTAACATGTTGTAAATCTTTTTCCTGACTCACACGCAGTATAATTTTTTAACCCACATAGAAGCACCGATTGACTGACTGACTTCACATTTGTGGTGAACAGATCCGAATCTTGTTGTTGTGTGGCAGCAGGTTCCCAAACTGGTTTCAGGTTGAGGAAGGCGTGTATATCTGCCCTTCCAAATCTGGCTGGATTTGACATCTTCGTCTGTTACGCCTGTGGCTGAAACAATGCCTGTGACCGAAATAAGTGAGGAAAGTAACCTCTGTCAAATATCTCCCGTTGATGGTCATTGGTGATATCATCGTGAGTAGAGTAGGCAGAATTGTCTCATTCGTATCTCTTCTTCAAACGCCTTTCCGTGTCTTTCCTTGTGGATCACCTGACACGTGGCTTTGTCATACAGCCAACCGTCGATGAGGTTGATAAAGACTTCGGCAGTGCACGCCGTAGTGTAGAAGCAATTTCTAAACTGCTTCTTGGTCAATGATATCTGTGGAACGTCTTCTAGGAGTTGACGAGGTTAGAGTATAGGTGTGAATGCCAATCTAGGCTTTGTTCGATGACGATGCGTAGATTCGTAATTTGATCCGCACATGATTCGCCTTTCCTGGATCCACATGGATTCAGGTAGTGTGGGAAGGAGTTTTGCATCCAGTGAATCTTTTATTCTCTCCAGAATGACAAGACCTAGTATTTGACTTAGCGTGGATAACAGGATTATTCCCCGTCAGTTCTTACAGAGGCGTGAGTCACTCTTCTTTCGTAGCTTGACAAGGAAGCCAGTCTTTCTCCCAGTCGGTAGACACCTTTGCCTCCTTTCAACCCTTTCGCAACAATGACGTAGGCACATTTGCCGCAGTGTCTGGGTTTGTTTTCAGTGCTTCGGGGGAAACACTGATGACTTAATCCCCTTAAATCCAGTCACTTATGACTGCCAGTAAAATACGTGAACACTCTTCCTACGATTGTGTTTCTGTGAATTGTAGTATTATTTCGCAGTAGTTCATTTCGTTCCCACCTGGTATTTTGAGGTTAAGCAGTTCAGCTTGATTTACCATTGAACAACTTCCTACCCTCGTCAGTTTATTTCTTCTTGTTTAAATGAAGATTAAACAGAAATTTGAGGACTCTAAAACAGATATATCTACGTTTTTATTAAAGGGGGGAAATATTGCCCGTCAAAAGACTACCATTAATAATTACCTTGTAATTACTGATGTTTGTCAGTTTTTCAAGAGTTGCATGCTCATCAAGCATGCAGCGTGGCTATAGGTTCGACTTCACTACTTCCTAACTTCATGATATCTCTCCCCCTTACTGTCAGTAGATGAAATTCTCCGAATTCTTTTAAAATTTAGTAGTATATACTGACTTATGCTATAATTGGAAATACTGAAAGCGTAAGTATTCAGTGCTTAGACAAGAATTTATTTAAAGCGCAATGCCATCTCAAGTCCTGTATTTAAAAGGTATATTTGGATCACAGATACCTATTCGGTGATAAAATGCCTATGAAATACAAGTCACCTGTGTCCTATATACAATGATGGATAAGCAACAATAATTACTTTTATATATTGCTATTCATATCAATTATCTTTTGAACTGAAACTGCAATGAAAATATCAATAATCCTATTACTAATTTTTTTAAGTACATATTTTATTGTAATCCCTTTCTGTGTATATTCTTTATGCACCTACAGGAACCGCAACAACAACCGCCTACTTCTAATCTATTAAATCCTTCATCAACAACAAAAAATATCAATGATTTTCTTCGAAAAAGATCATCCTCACCATCTAGCACTACAAATCCATATAATCCTATAGCTAGAAGTCAAAGTTTATACGCTTATCTATCTAAGCAAAATGAAGTGAACAATAAGCCAGTTAAACCTAACACTCAATCTGTGATCAATACAATTCCACCTCCAAAACCACCACAAGACATTCAACCAAAACTACCGCCTAAACAGTCTACTACAAACACTAATAATATTAGTTGTTATTATACAAGAGGAGACAATGACACACTTAATTATTCCAACATCCAACGATCAATATCCTCATCACTGTACGGAATAGACAATACACTGAATACAATCTCAAATTCATTAGCAACATCCAAAGTAACTTCGACTAATGCAAAGCCTACCTCACCAAGTCTTCAAAAATCAGCAAATCAGATAAAAGCTGACAGGCCTACCAATGACAATAATCAGTCGAATGGACCTAATGTAAGCAATACTTTGTCATAACCAGTTATCAATTCATTTGAAAGTATTTTATAGGGCTGTTTTTTTCTAGTCAGATCCATTATTGTAATTATTATTACTATTATTTAAAATGGCTGACCATGAGATTTCATGAATTTACTCAAAGAAAATATAACGTTACTCTAAACTTAACTCCAATCAAAGACATAGAGTAGCTTAGATCAGCGTTACACAGAAAAGGTAACCCATAAAAAGTGTAGAAAAAAACAACTATTTTTTCCAAGCAAAATAACCCAACAAATAAGCATGAGGAAATAGAACTGAAGTGTGTTTACCCTGAGGAAATACTCAAGAAGGGAATCCTACACCAGGCCATGAGTTGCGAAGACAAAACCTGTATGGAGAAGATCACTAAAAGAGAAACTGTAAATTTGTAGAAAGTCGTGAAGCCAGATGAAAGCAGAGCTAGAGAAGCCAGTGTAATGAAGATATGTTGCTGAAGCTGTTTTATTTTACTGAGGATGAACAAAACATGAATTTTAACACTAGTATAATTTTAAGCATATTATTTTGTTAGGTCTGTCTGGATTCAACATAGAACTTGGCACCGAAGTGCACCAGTTCGAGTTGCCACGTTCCAAATAGCACACAGAGGTAGACAAGAAGATGAGTGAAGAGAATCAATAGAGTTTGACAAGTATTAGAGTGAAACAGAATGGGTAATGGTAGGAAGGAATATGAAAGATTACAGAGACTGAATACATCTGCGCTGGCCATTGACAACGATTTTGAGCCATGTCACCTATTGTCTCCAGCTATTGATTCTTAGAGTCAGTCCCGAGGGCCCCAACCCGGAAGTCTGCATCTCCCTACCTGACTCAGTTTAACTGTCAAGGATTTCATGGATTGATGCCATGTTTTTGTTTGGCCACCACTGGCTCTTTTCTTTGTTGGGTGTCATGGTCAAGTAATCAATAATTGTGGATTTCATCTGTTTAAATTTTGTATAAAAGAAATAACTAATCATAGTTAAATGATCACAAAATTAGTAATTCATTCCGAGTTGTGGACTAAAGTTTTCCTTTTAAGAAGCCGCAATACCGATATAAGACTGGCTTCAGAAAAGAATGCGGTGAAGGAAAACAGAGTATTAGACATGAATTTGGAAATTCATTAGTAATTGCCTTATGAACTGACATCAGTTACAGAAACATTGTAAACCTGAGAGTATCAGACAGCTGTTCCACCCTGGTTCAGGAATCCTCACCACGAAGGCTCAAAGCCACAACCTTCTGTTTACAAGGCCACCTCGTAGACTATTAAGCCGCTGGGACCTCTCGATCGAATAACCAAAGTGCATACATTCTAACTTCTGCCAATTAATGATGAAACCCTTCAACCAATGAAAAAATCCCTACAAAAATAATACTAGAAAATTCATTAGTAATTCATTTGATGTATTTTAAATTAATTCAAAAATGTTTATTGTAGGATTAACGTAATCTTAGATGCCTTTTAAGTGAAATAAGCTAGGTATCAGATGAATCCAGAATTTTTCAACACGATGCACTAAAAACCCCATTAAGTAGTCTCGTTCTTACTCAACTCGAACCGAGGCAGTAGTGGTGCTACTGTTGCGGTGTTAGACATAAGTGCCATTTTAAACAGCAAAGCAAGACAAGCTCGTAAACCAATCAGCTACTGGGACCTGATTCAATGGCCTATGAATTTGAACTTCTACCAATTCATTACTTCTAGCGCGACGACCAAACAATATCATCAGGTAGTGTTTGTTCTCACTCCATATAGGATGGATGTTACTGGTCTCGACGCCTCACTATATCTCCAGGAAACTCCATCATGCAGCCAGTCACTAGTTAACGTCAAAAATTAACTCAGGAGTGCGAACGCAGCAATGATCCTTAACGTATACTATTCGTTCGATAAAGGGGCCTAACATTATTATTATAGCACCACTATAGTAATAATCACTTTATTCCAAACAATAATAATGATTATACAGAATGAAATTTTTAGAGTTTTTCACATATTGCAACAATATGTGTATATAAATAAAATCTAAACTAGTAATCATAATAATATGAATAATGAAACCACTGTATAGAGAATGTCGGGGGAAATATATAATGAACCATAAGTAGATATTATCATAGATAATCCATGTAATAATAGTAATAATCTTTGCTTATACTTGTCAGTTCAGTTCATACTGATTTAAAAAAAGCTTATAAGTTCCTTCCTAACATCTGACTCTCTCTTCACACAAAACCACCCGTACTAAATATGGTGGTATGATAGAATTTTTATATTTAGTAGCTGTACGAGCACAAACGCTTCTTATGAAGTTTTTTCAGGTAAAGCCCGAAGATATATAAGGCAAAATTTGTGAATAGAGAGGATGTTCATTATTAGACAAGGTGACTTCAGCCAAATGCTTGGTGGAATCGAAGAGCCCTCTGACAATAATGTCAGTTGGCTGAGTTAAAGGCACACCACCAACCCTCTTTACAACCTTCAATGTTCTGCATAATATGACACATTTGTTTTTGAGAATTTCACGAAATAATAATGGCGAAGAATAAAGAAGAATGAGCGGAATGCATGAACTGACAAATTTATTTATTTATTAGTAATTTTATTTTTGATTACAGCTTGATTCCACACTGTATTTTTGGGACAAGTATGGAATTTTCAGCATGTGATATCGGTAGCCCAAACTTTGCAGACCGACCATAGATATCAAATGTGCATCAGCAGGGGATCGAACCTCGGACCATGTGCATGGTTGGCGAGAGTCCTAACCACTGTGCCACCGAAGAAGAGTTGAGTTAAGCCGGTGGAAAGTCTCAACTTCTTTATAATAATAATAATGAATTGCTTTATTCCAAAAACAGTACTTGTGATACAGAATGGAGTTTTCAGCATTAATCACAATATTGCATCTTATTTCCTCAAATTATAAATAAAATTAATCACACAGAAAATTTTCCAAATTTACAATAGCGGTAATGTCAAAAACATACAGCATATGTAATGGAAATAATAATAATGATGATAACAGCTAAGGTAATAATAATAATACAAATGAAAATTGCCGTGGGCTTGTTTCACACAGTATTGCCGATGCGGTATAGGAATCCTAACATGTTTAAAAATATTGAATATAATGTTCTCTTTACATGATAAGGTGAGGGGAAAAACAAAGATTACAGCAGTCATAGAGATAGTTGGTGTTTGCAATTATGAGAGTAAAACAAACAAAGAAGCAACAGGACCATAAATATAATAGAAATAATAAAAGTAAAACTTGAAGGTATATAAGGATGGATGGAGGAAATTGTTTATTTACTAGATGAAAAACGGTTAGTTAATTGTTGCCTGACACTATTTTTATTATACAAAATATGTGCCAAGTATGGTATCATAGAATTTCTATACTTAGACGTGTTAGCATACAGTTTTCTGAAGTTACTATCCTGTTCTACTTGAGGAGACGCAAGGTGAAGGCTGTGGGTAAAGTGGATGCTCCAAGTCAGACAAAATCCCTTTAGCAAATTTATTGCACGAAGTCAATCGCCTATCGACAACGACGGTAACTATGTGGTCCACTGGGACACCACTCACCCTACTGACAGTATTCAGCATTCTACGAATTGTGACATAGTCCTTCTTAAGCTAACCAGGAAAGAATAAAGGTGAACGATAAAGTATAATAGGTAGATGCAAGAGTTTATGAACTGTAAGAGGAGGAGTGGTTGGGTTATAACTGAGTGCCTTAACTTCTTAATGTAAAATGTCAGGCGGAATATATTTTACTGGAGATCGCTAACACATGAGAAGACCAGGAGAGATCAGAATAGAGAATAAGTCCAAGATACTTAATTTCTGATTTAATTCCTATATCATTGTCGTCAATCTTACAATTGTCATGAGATTCGATGACTCCTTTCAACTGTCTTTTATATCATAAGCTGATATTAACAGTTTGACATTTAGAAGGATTCAGTTTAAGACCGTTTAACTCAGACCATTTACTGACTCTCAACAGAGAGCAATTTATTTTGGTACAATCTAGCTGGGAGTTAACAGCCATTGAAACTGTTAAGTCATCAGCGTACTTCACAAAGTTTATTTCATCAGAGTGAAGCAGGTCATGCAAGAAGAAAGAAAAAAATATCCTTAAAAATCAGCAGGATCTCTGACGACCGACAGAGATTCAAAGAGAACAAATAGAGGTGCAAAATTTCATTCTAATGTCGTCTCTAAGTACTATTTGGATAATATGTTGATAGCATTTTAGAAATGTAGTTAGGATTAGGGTATTTTATTTTCATCAACTGTATTTTTCTAGTATATAAACGCGAATTTTATGGAAAAGGCGCTGTTTTTTCTGACTTGTCGCCACAAGATTGATCATGTGTTGATACCGCTTGGATTGCTATTTTTTAACTTCGCTAAAACGTTTGTATAAACCCCTTCAACAGGTGACTGCTTTTTACTTTCTGACATTTAGGCTTTTTTCGTTAACACTTACTCGAAAATCAATATGGTTGGTATGTGAAATAACGAAATGATGCAATGTTGGGTCATTTGTTTGTAAGATTTTATTCCCACAGCCTAAATTTCACTGGACTCGATTGATTAATTCATCACTGTTGGCATATGAGTTCAAATTTGTCCTTGATATATCACTCGTCTCATAAAAGGTCGTAGGCGCTCTTTACTCTATTTGGGACTACTGAAACCAACTCGTTGTGGTCTGATCACAAGTAACCGATGTTTATATCCACTTTTTAGCTGACAAAACGTTCTTGAGATACACACAGTCATGAAACTCTCCAAAGACAGCGAAAAGACTGTTAGTTGACGTAAAATCTCTGGTTTCCACTAGACAACAACAAAAATAACATCAAAAAAGTCAAAATTACCTCAACGGAGCCATTAAGCAGCTATACAGGCTGGATAAGTTTCCAGTACGAGATAGGTACTGAAGAACAAAA